AAAAAAAAAAAAAAAAGGCAGTGGGCAGCCATGAGAGAGTTTGAAACAAGAGGGAAGCAGATTAGGTTTATGTGACCAGCATGTGAGACAGCCTGGAAGGACCAGCCTAGGGAGCAGTGAGGTCAGCAGGGGGGCAAATGGGGCAGTTTCTTGATTGAGAGATAATAGGGGCTGAATTAAGTCAGGGATTTAGTCAAAAGGAATGGAATTGGGGCCAGGTATAGTTAAAGGGTAGAATCCTTGAATTTTGGCACCAGGTAAATATCAAATGACATGAGGAGAAAGGCCCCTTGGGCAATGCTTAGCTTAAGTGACTGATCTGAGGGCACTCCACACTCACCCTTTCTACCCTGGAGGGTCAGAAATCCGGGGACACTTGAGAATCAGTGCCATAAGAGGGAAAGGAGAAGCCCCTTATAGTCAGGGAAGATGGGGGCCAGGAAGTGATTTCTGTGGGTGATGATATGTTGGCTGGCATCTAAAGAATGTATCAGAGTTAACCAGGTAGAAATGAGGGGAGAAAAGTGTTCCATACACAAGAAGAGGCCTTTAGAGAGAGGGAGGACCCAAGATGGTGGTGGCTGAAGCCCAGAGTGGGAGGGAGTCTTTGAGTGGCCTAAAGTAAGAATGCAGAGGAGGGAAGGCTGGCTTGCAACTGAGTCAGAAGTTTGCTGCAGAAGTTTAGGGGAAGCTGCCAAAAGATTTAAGGTCTGTTTTTTGTTGTTGTTGTTTTGTTTTTTGTTTTTTTGAGACAGAGTCTCACTGTGTCATCCTCTGTAGAGTACTGTGACATTACAGCTCACAGCAACCTCCAACTCTGGGGCTTAAGCGATTCTCCTGCCTCAGCCTACCAAGTAGCTGGGACTACAGGTGCCTGCCACAACACCTGGCTATTTTTTTTTTGCAGTTGTCACTGTTGTTTAGCAGGCCCAAGCCGGTTTCAAACTTGCCACCTTCAGTGTCTGTTGCCAGCGCCCTACTCACTGAGCTACAGATGGACTTTAAGGTCTGTTTTAAAACAGTGGTAGCCACCGTAAAGCCAGTGAAGCGCCCTTCACCCTGTACTTTGGGAAGACTGAGCCTCAGGACTGTTCTAGAATGAAGCTTTAGAAGTTCTGTGCTGGCTCGGCACCTGTAGCTTAGCAGCTAGGGTGCCAACCATATTCACCAGAGCTGGCGGGTTTGAACCCAGCCTGGGCCTGTCAAACAACAATGACAACTACAATGGAAAAAAAAAATAGCCAGGCGTTGTAGTGGGTGCCTGTAGTCCCAGCTACTTGGTAGGCTGAGGCAAAAGAATCTCTTAAGCCTAAGAGCTGGAGGTTGCTATGAGCTGTGACACCATGGCACTCTACCAAGGGCAACATAGTGAAACTGTCTCAAAAAAATAAAATAAAAGTTCTGTAGTGAAGGACCAGATGTTGTTTTTTAAAATTGCCAGTTTTTTGTGAAGCATGCTAAAAATGTGAATGGTGACCCATAGAGTTATAAAATTGCTTCAACTCTTGTTTGCTAATTCTGTAACTGCCTGTCACCCAGCTGACCTGGGGACCACACAGTGCTGCAGTACAATCACTGCCTTGTTGGCTCGGCGCCTATAGCTCAACCGGCTAAGGCGCCAGCCACGTACACCTAAGGTGGCGGGTTCGAATCCCCAGCCCAGGCCCGCCAAACAACAATGACGGCTGCAACCAAAAAATAGCCGGGCGTTGTGGCGGGCGCCTGTGGTCCCAGCTACTTGGGAGGCGGAGGCAACAGACTCGCTTGAGCCCAGGAGTTGGAGGTTGCTGTGAGCGTGATGCCACGGCACTCTACCCAGAGGGACAGCTTGAGGCTCTGTCTCAAAAAAAAAAAAAAAAAAAAGAAAAACAATCACTGCCTTGTTGAGGAGAGGGGAAGGGGAAGATAGAACCTGATGGGTTCTAGGGGTGACACAGCTGATAGCACAGCCATGGTGGTGATAGCCATAGACACAGACAGATTGAAGTGTGGTCTAAGAGACTGATTTGACAACACCATGTGGCTTGTTAGTTTGAGGTGCATGTACCTTCTCTGTTTCTGGCTTGGCATCTGGGTGGGGACACTGTCAGTCATAGAGATTGGGAGGGACCCTAGGAGATGGCACCTGGAATATGGGGCAGGAGGAAATGCAGGGAAGTTTGGAGTGCTTGTGGAAAACCGGGGTAGGAGGTATGGTCACTGATTAGGTCCATAGCTCAAGGAATGCAGAATGGAGATGACGGATTTAGGAATCACAGCTTGCAGATGGTAATTGCGGTCAGGGGAAGATGTCACATGTTGTATAGAGCTGAGGACAAGGACTTAGAACACAGGCCAGGCACCTCAGCATCTGAGGATTAAACAGAAGAAAGCGCAGCAAAGGTAACAAAGAAGAAGGGACTGAGGGTGCAGCCACACGGAAACCAAGGGAGATGAGGCTCTGAGACAGGCCTGTCGAGCTGAGCGAGGGTGTGTTCAGCAGCCTTGGGGATGGAGCAGAAGCCATATTGCTGCCTGGATGGAGAGAAAGGGGAGATGAAAAATTGAAGATGAATTTTGGCTATGTAATTGTTGAGAGAGGGATGTAGGGGTTAAGGGGACATGTTTTAAGCCTAGAAGACTTGGGTGTGTTGGGGTACGGCTCAGGAGGAGTCAGTAGAGAGGGAGACAGTAAATAAGAGAACAGAGATCACGAATTAAGTGTCCCTGGGAGGGTCAGAGGTATAGGGTGCAGCACATAAGTTGGGTGTCTTCTTTATAGGATACAGCCTTGTAAGACATACTGTAAAGCCCAGTCAACCCTAAGCAGTAACTGGGTGCCCAGCAGTGGGCCCTGGGTTGTACCCTACTGGGACTTGGAAAGGCCCCAGTGGTTCATGGTCATGTTCTGATGAGATAAGACCCCAAGGTGGAGAGGGAGGCACGCCACCTTGTCAAGGACCTCCTTATGGGATATGTGCCTATCCCAACCTGGGCTCTTGCCAGCAAGATGGTGTCTTAGCTGCCTCAAACTAGATGGATCCGTGAATGCAAAGGGTCTTTGGCAACTCAAGGAGAATCGGTGAAAGGAAGGCGGGGCAGGTGTTGGGAAGGCTGCAGTGCATGCCCAGTGCTGCAACTTCGCGCTTTGCTGGCCCAATGTGCCGAGGCTGTGATGTCCTGACAGTGAATGGGTATGTTGGAGATGGTAGCAGAGATGAGAGGCAGCAGCCTAGGAGATCAGGGAATGATAGCCGCCCTCAAAGAGGCCTGACCTCAGCATCAGTTCTAGCCTGGGTAGAGTGCAGAGGTGAGTGGGCTCAGGCTTACACCGAAAGACCCTAGAGAAGGACCAGGCTGTGTTGGCAAGAGAGTGTGAGGTGACTATTCCTTGATTCTACAAGAAAAGGATGGCTCAAAGGCATAAGGGTCTGAGTGGGTAAGAATGTGGGAAAGGGTCCGGAGCTGGGGTGCTGTGAAAAGGAGGATATGTAGGAGGGTTAGGCTTCTAGGGTTGGGGGAGCCAGCAGACACTGGAGTTGGCGGCCCAGGAGGCCCCTTTGGCCTAGAACTGTGCCAGAGGACACCTGGATTCTGGCCACCTTCTGATGATGGGCCACCTCTCTTCTCCTGCCAGTCATCTGCAAGCAGCAGGCCCCAGAGTTGGAGCCTGCCACAGCCATGCCACCCCTGCCACAGCCGCCGCTGGCCCCTGCTGCACCTATCCCACCTGGCCAGGGTGCACCATCCATGGACGAGCTCATCCAGCAGAGCCAGTGGAACCTCCAGCAGCAGGAACAGCACCTGCTGGCCCTCAGACAGGTAGGGAACCCCTCCTCTGCCTCCCCTCTCTGTTCTAAGGCAGGTACTAGGAATTCACTCTGTGCCTCAGCTTCTGTATCTGTGAGTTGAAGTGAATACCAGGTGTCACAAGGACTTGTTACCATGCTCAGCACTGAGGACAGGGCTTGTCACCTTCAGCCCTGAAGCTGGACACAGAGGCTGTGTCTCATTCTAGTAAAGTCATTACATATGCTCTCTGGACACATGCACACCCATCACCTCAGGTGGATACCTCCATGTGGGACTGTGGGTCAAATGTACCCATTTGTGCTTACATAACTGGTGCTGCTGCATAGCCACCGGTGATTGCCATTGACCCTGTCACCTGGTAGCTAGGTTACCCTAAGCTGTCAGTGGGAAAGGACCCTTTTCCTCTGATCCATCAGTCTGATACTTTTGCCAAATATAATAAGAATGAGTTGGCAGAAAAACAAGATGAATAAGGTGCAGTTGGCTCACGCCTATAATCCTAGCACTCTGAGAGGACAAGGCGGGTGGCTTGCCTGAGCTCACAAGTTTGAGACCAGCCTGATCAAGAGCGAGACCCCCATCTCTAAAAATACCCGGGCGTTGTAGCAGGCGCCTATAGTCCCAGCTGCTCAGAAGGCTGAGGCAAGAGCTGTAATGCCATGGCACTCTTTCGGGGGCAACAAAGTGAGACTCTGTCTCAAAAAGAAAAAATAAACACAAAACCCACATGATGCCAGCCCTAATTTTAAGACATGAAATTGCTCTGTCATGTTGCTGCCAACCAAACATTCTAGAATGTTAACCCTGACTTTCTGCCCAGAGCTAGTCATGGATTGAGCAGGATAGCCCTAAGCTGACCACCTTGCCCCACAGCAGCTTCATTTGAGAGGTCAAATGGGCAAAATCCTGGCATCAGACTTCACCTTGGGTTCCACTAATGATGCATGAGGTTGCCCCCTTGCTTCTCTGGTGGCCATGGTGTGTCCTCTCTGCATATCTGTTAGCACTTTCACTCAGTTGTCATTGTGTTTTGTTTAATTGGCCTGTAGAAGGTCCTTGTTCCCACTGACCATGCTCTTTTCCTCCATTATCTGGAGAGCAGATGCTGCCTCCCAGCTTGTCCAGCTTTATCCTCTGTCTTTTCTCAGGGTGAGCTGTCGTCTGTTGGTGGCAGGTGTGAGGGATAGGACTCATGCTGGAGATGGGCCAGGGACCCTCATCATTTCCTCATTCTACCTCCACTGAGCTGTTAAGGGCCCAGGCTAAGGGTCCTTCTTCATGCCATATCTGTCTCATCTGACCTCCCAGGAGCAGGTAACAGCGGCCGTGGCTCACGCCGTAGAGCAGCAAATGCAGAAGCTCCTGGAGGAGACCCAGTTGGACATGAATGAGTTCGACAACCTGTTGCAGCCCATCATTGACACGTGCACCAAGGATGCCATCTCGGTGAGGACAGTGAGGGGCTTGGTGGTAGCGGCAGAGGTACTCTCAGGCAGAGGCCCACCACATCGAGCCTGGGCTGGGAGCTGCACTGAGGGGCACATTTCCCCTTCCCTCTTTGAGCGCTCTCTTAGGCATCAGGAGCCTGTGCCCCATGCCCTTGTGTGCCCTCCCCTCCATCAATGTCACTTCCCAGGGTTGATGGTGACATGTGTTCAAGCATGCAGCGGGTGCCAGGAGAATCCCCTGCCCCACTCACCCATTGGCCTGGCCGTTGTAGGCTGGGAAGAACTGGATGTTCAGCAATGCCAAGTCCCCACCACACTGTGAGCTGATGGCAGGCCACCTTCGGAACCGCATCACAGCTGACGGGGCACACTTTGAGCTGCGGCTACACCTTATCTACCTGATCAATGATGTGCTGCACCACTGGTGAGCGCAACTGCCTGCCCATGGACCCAAACAACCCACTTCCTCTCACGCCACCTTGCCTGGGCGACCACTTATAGTCATTAGCTTGGCTTCCTCTGGCCTATCCTATAACTAGGAGGTCACTTATCCAAAGAGCCTAGGATAGGGTCTCTGAGCCATGAGCCCTCCATCTGCAGGACAGGTTGGTCTCAGTACCTTACCTACCCTTACCCTACACCCTGGCCTCTCTCCTGTACCCCTGACCTCACCTATGACATTGTCATCTCTTTGGGGCCACTGTCCCCTCCATAACCTTGTTCATCAGGGCAATACTTAGCAAGCTGGGGCTCAGGCTTTGCCACCTCTTTTATGTCTCTGTGTCTGCTGCTGGCTCCCTTTTCTGATCTGTCCATACACACTCATTCACCTGACTGCTCTTGTGATCCTCCTATGAGGTTCCCTTCTCTAGCTAGCCCTGACACAATTCCTAGAACTTTGGGGAGCTGCCTTTGCCAGTCCTTTGTCCCCACACATCCTTCAGCTCTCTCCTACCATTGCCAGGAATTGGGAGAGCCCTGCTCCTCCCCAAGGCCAGGTGGGTGTTTCCTTCTGCATGGATACGGGGTTAACACAACCAGAAAACTGGTCTGAAGCAGGAGGAAACACACTGCTCTTGAGACAAGCGTAGCTTTTAAGACTGGCTGTCGGCTCGGCTCCTATAGCTCAACCGGCTAAGGCGCCAGCCACGTACACCTAAGGTGGCGGGTTCGAATCCCCAGCCCGGACCCGCCAAACAACAATGACGGCTGCAAC